GGCGTACCCGCTCGAGAGCACTCGCCGCCTTTCAACGAGGCCCCTGCCCTCACCCAGAATGGGGTCAGCATCCCACTGGCACAGTTTTAGGTGCTTTTAGCCCACCCTAGCAGCACCTTTTCCTCCTGGGGTGCCTGAGCCGCTGGCTTCAGAGCATCATCTGCTGCTGGGTCCATCCTGGGGTCCCCCTGCCACTCGCAGGGTCTCAGGGTGTGGGGGACTGCCTGCCACTGCCCCCTTCATCCCCATCTCGCCTCTGTCCTGTCCTGTGGGATTTTGGAGATGGAGCTTGCCAGAGCTGCGATTCCTTTCTACCCTGCGTGCTCCAGTGGGATTGCAGCTTTAGGAGGGGTTTAGTGCTGCTCGTGTCCCCCTTCCCCTCCCTAGATTATTCCTGATGGCTTTTTCTTTTTAACCTGTTGAGCTGCTCCATGAGCTGCGTGACGGCGCTGAGGTCGGAGTCGCGTACCTCCTGCACCAGCACCACGTCGTAGCGGCGCAGGCTCTGCGGGGGCAAGAGGGATGGCGATGGCGAGAGGGAGCCTGGTGCTGGCTCGGGACCACCCTCTCCTCTCCCACCTGTCTCCCAATGGGTACCACACCACAGGGACCCACATATCCCTCGACATTGGGTCAGATGTCCCCACAGAAGGCTCGGAGCGACTGCAGGGTGTCCCTGACATCCCACCTCGGTCCCCACTGAGCCTTCATCCACCCAAGGTATCCCCGGCACTGGGGTGCCATGCTATCCATGGCCACGTCCCCACCTGACCCTGGCACAGGAGCCAAATTTTGGGTCTGCCCCAGTGCAGAGCCCGTCCCCGGATGCACTCACGCTGACGATGACGCCTGCCACTTCCTCGTTGGACATCTTGGTGTCTCCGAATGCCTGGATGTTGAAGGCACCAACGCGCAGCGTGGCGGTGGCCAGGCACGGGAAAGCCACAGCCAGCAGGAACAGTGCCAGCACTGTGGTCCCCATCCTGCCAGATGGGATGCTGAGCTGCAGGGATGCAGCAACAGGAGCCGAACTTGGAAAACTGCTTTGGATTTGAGGACAGAGAAAAAAAATCCATGTAAGTCCTTCCTGAGTCCTGGAGTGCAACAGTGTGCCGTAGTGGGCACAGCCCGGAGCAGCCCACGGAGCCAGCACAGGCTGTCTGCTGGCTTGCCGGTCCCAGGGAAAGCTAAACTCCATCCCGCCGTGGTGAATCCACCTGGCAGTGCCTCTGCCAGCCCTGGGATCGCCCAGCTCTGCTTCCTGCCAGGATGTTTCCATCACCCACCAGACTTGGCTGCCACCGCCGGCTTTGCATCCTTAAACTCGATCACAGCCCGCACAGTCAGAGTAAGGAAGTGACTCCTCATCCCAGATTATACCAGCTCATCCCAGTCCCTCCCAGTTCGCGGCTGAAGGTGTCGAGCCCGGATCTGTCCTTACCGTGCTAAGCGCGCAGCACCTCTGCCCTGCCGGCAGCAGGACGGACGGCTTTATTCCCAACGGAGGTGCCGGCAAAGCAGGATGAGTCGAACACCCCTGGGGGGGTTTTGGCACAGCTCTGGGCTCCTTCCTACGTTGGGAAACCAAAAACCCACGGGGCGGCAGGGTGGGGCCGGCATAGCCGCCCCTGTGCCGACGCGGCAGAGAGCGGCTGGGGAGGCACGGCAGCGCCGGGGCATCGCGGCGGGGCTGGGTGGGCGCGCAGGACTCGGGGTGCTGCAGCTGGGGTGGTCCTCCCAGTCATGGCATGGGGCATGGTAGCCAGGCAGGAGGTGAAGGGCGACAGCCTTGACGTGGGTGATTCAGACAGTGTAATTAGAGGGGGCAGAAGGAAACGGCGGCGTGTCTGGGTGAGGCAGGCTGAGCACCGCTGGCATCAGCAAGAGGGGGCGGCCGCGAACCCCCACAGCGACCACCCAGAACAGCCCCATTCATGACCCCAAGCAGCCCCAGTTGTCACCTAAAGCACCCCCACTGGTGACCCATAGCAGCCCCAGCAGAGCTGGTGGCACCATGGGAGCCTGGGGCACAGTGCCAACCCTGTCCCGCTGCCAAGGATGACACGCGGCTGGGGCTGGGCCCCGGGCATCCACCGCGCCAGCACATGGCGTCACCCCAGCACATGGCGTCCCCCCGGCTGAGGGAGCAGGTGGCTCTGCCAGGGTGCCAGCACCAGGGCTGGAGGGGAGACAGCAGCTGCTCATGCTGGGGCTTGCTGGGCTGTCACCTGTACCGCCAGGTTTCGCACCCTCACACCCAGTCATGGGATGAGTGTGGTGTCCCTCTGCACCGCGCAGGCACCGAAACCCCCTCAGGAGGCACCAAATCCCCCGGGAACTGACTCACGTCCTCTGCCTCCCCCTACCCTCCCC